AGTCTGCAAACATCCCTTATTCGTCACATATTCACTTATTTTAATGATTAACATAGTCAGTTTATAATATATTATTGCATTATATTTAGTTTCGCGTTTGTATCAGCCGCACTCACTGAAGTGGTACGGTACGGTCCACTGACCTACCACACGAACACTCCGCTGCTCCTTTCATTGTACGAACGTAATATTAATGATTCCCACATGTGCTGCTTTTGTAGCGTGACAAGTCCTCGTCCAATATTTTGTAGACGTGTTATTGTAACATTTTTTAATGATATTTTATAATATGACATAAATAGGAGCTCGAAATATGCCAGTAATACCGTAATAAGACATTTAAAAGAATGATGCTACGATATATTTCTTCCAGTGCTGTGCTCGTGTCTGGACGGCAAATCGGCACAAACATTACTCAATTTATAATGACAAAAATTTACCTGACCGTTTTCAAGAGGGCATAAAAATCTTTAATTTTCAAGAACTTAAAAGTCATTAAAAGACACCGTGACTTCAGAAGTCGGGAAAGCCCGCCATCTAGGTATCAACATTTTCCCTGGGAGGACCCCCACCCCATTTCTTTTTGGGGTTTTTTGGAAACATTTTGATCCTCCCGTAAATTTCAACCCAGATCCGCCCCTAAAACATATATTTAGACACGTAATTTGTGCTTCCAACTTGTCTGGCAACAAAGTTATGATAAAATACAAAAATCATGAAAACTTTTCCCCTATTTTCGACAAAAGCTCATTCAGGTAAATTTGACCTACATCTTATGCATGCAGGACGCACTAACCACAGAAAACTCGAAATTCGTAGCTGCTATGGCCTTAAGCGCGTGACGTCATTCAGAGAGGGTAAAAACAGTTCTGAATACAAAGATTTAAAGAAAAATGATCAATGGTTATTTAAGCAACCAGCATGTGACTTAATGGCAAGAAAACTTAATTTATGAGCGACAATTGACCGTTCACCCCAAAGTTTAGCGACCTGTCGTTGTAGAGTTATGGTAAAAAGAAGCAGGAAGTATACCAAAAAACACTCATAATTTTTAACCTTTTTCCTATGCAAAAGCATAAGAGGTAGTCAACTTTGAAAGAAAAATCATCACTCAATTTTGCATCAATTGTAGGAATATATAGATGATTATAAAGCTTAAAACATCTAGTTTTATAACCGATCGCCCCAGATTGCCAAATGAAACCATTCAAATTATATAGTCGATTTTGTGAAAAAAATGGGTCATGTTTTGACTCATTTACTGTGTTAAAATGTGTGCAGTGTACCGTTCAATGAGCAGATGTCTCCAAGTTTTCATTATGATGGTGGCCATCATCTTGGATTTTGCGGAAAGCTCCACTAGGATTTTCGGGGACTTTTAGTATGTTATATTCTAGGCCTACTTATAATTATGGACATATCCCGAACCTTTAGCTCGTTATGAAAAATTTCCAGGTCCGCCTATATTAATTTTACGATCTAATTCTCTTGGACTATTGTTGTTTTGATTACATTCATGCTGATTTCAAATTATAAATTAATTATTTGCATTGCACATTGTTGCTATAAATTAGTTCTACTTGATGATTCTTATGTCAATAAAACTATACACAATGTCATCGTTGTATGAAAACATGCTAAAAACACCTATTAAGGGGACAATTTCGCTAGTGTCTTATTAATAGGGTTTCTCCTATTCAGGGGACACTATGCAAATAGGCCTAGTAGTAGAGCGGCTAAGGTTGAATTTTAGGTAGAATCGTGCACTTTTGGAAGAAAGCATGAAACTTCCCACAGTGATACTATGACACCTAAAAATCATTAAAAAAAATAGACCCCAAAAAATAACGCCTTCTAATGGCCACCATCTTGAAATCCAATATGGCCGCCAAAATAGGCCTATTTGATTTTAGCCAATATATTCATATCTACAGTCATTGCCAATTGAAGATCGTTACCCATGTATTCAATATCAGGGAATGTCATGGAATCATCAGAAATTATGTCAGATGGCGCCGCCATATTGGATTTCAAGATGGCCGACAAATTAATGATATTTTTGTCAATATTCATATCTACAGTACAAGCACTGTCAATCAAATACCGTTGCCCATGTTTTCAATATCAGGGACTACCATGCAGCCATCAAAAATTATGTCAGAAGACCACCATATTAAATTTCAAAATGGCCACCATCATGAAATTTAATATGGCCGCCAAAATAATTAATTTTAGCTTATGTATTCATATTTACAGCACATATCACTCCAACTGAAGATCATTACCCATGTTTTCAATATCAGGGAGTGTCATGCAACCATCAGAAATTATGCCATATGGCGCCGCCATATTGGATTTCAAGATGGCCGCCAAATTATTGCTATTTTTGTCAATATCTTATCTACAGCACCTAGCACTGCCAATCAAAGACTGTTACCCATGTTTTCGATATCAAGGTCCATCAGAAATTATGTCAGAATGCCACCATTGATTTTCAAGATTGCTGCCATACTAGATTTCAAGATGGCCGCCAATTTAATAATTGATAATGTTGTAAATATCGTAATATCTACAACACCTAGCACTGTCAAAGATCTCTACTCGTGTTTTCGATATCCGGGAGTATCATGAAGATATCAGAAATTATGTCAGAAGGCCGCCATATTGAATTTCAAGATGGCTGCCATATTGGATCAGAGGCGGCGCCAGTGGGGTGGCAGGGGGGCTTAAGGCCCCCTCACCAGACAGGTCAAGCACCCCCACCCCACCGGACAGAGCTCGTCGGGCAGTCAGACCATAAAACATATAAAAATAGGCCCACACCAAGCCAACACATGTCTGTCACAGTCTGCGAGTGCCATTTTCGGCCATCCAAAGGTTGATATTCTTTTAAAAAAATCTCATTTGGGAGGGGGAATTATTATTCTATTATTATTTTTTTTATACTATATATAATTCTATTATACATTATATTATATTTGTATTTTGGGTATACACGACCATTTTTAAAACAACCTTTGTGTTGAAATGCTATCGTGTCTAAATAAAATGAATAAATGAATGAATGGAACCCCTCTCAATCCCTTCCTCCAGCTCGAGCCTACGAGCTCAAATCCCCCGCTGTTGGACAACTTAGCCCCCACCCCCCAGAAAATAGCCGCCACTGTATTGGATATCAAGATGGCGGCCAAAATATTTTATTTTTTTTCATATTTACATATGTAAAGTACCAGCACTGTGATTCAAGATTGTGTATATGTATAATTAGGGATATCATGCAATCATCAAACATCTCATAATCATAGTGAGACCTGCATATGGAAGTAAAGTAACGCCATTTAGAAAGAAATCCGTCAACTGCCACGTTGGATTTCAGAATGATTGCCAATTAAGAAAGGTACATGGAACAAAAGGAAATTAAAAAAAATAATAGAAAACAGTTGTATGGTATGAGGGCAAGTGCAGAGGGAGAGAGATAGATGCAGGTATTAAACATAGTTTATATTAAAGCTAGTTTTAGCATAAATGAAATTATGTAAACATAAATCAAATATTCAAATTAATGGTGTGAAGACACAAATATCGAATACGGTAGATC